CACTCAAAATCCAGCTGCTTTTCCATTGCTCTGCTCCAAATCTCCCCACCAGAGACATATCTTGGCAGTTTAATCCTCAATGACCTTTTTTTCTACCCGTGGGGCAGCCTAGTTTGGTGGTTTCACTTTGCCCTGCTTACAGCCTGCAGGATGTATCTGTGAGGAGTTTTCAGAGATGATGAACTGGACCTACCCTGAAGGTGGGTATGGGGATGATGCCCCATAGACCAGGGCTGACTACAGAGAATGGAAGGAGGAGGAGGAAGCCCACCAGAGCAGTCTCTCTCTCCCCCTCCCCCTCTCTCTGCCTCTCCCCGCTCCTCTTCCCCCTAGTCTCTCCTTCCTGGCTACCATTATGCTCATTGCTGCCCCCTCCCCACTGTGATGGACCATAACTGTGAGCCAAAATAGCCCTCCCTCATCTACCTTGCATTTTTCTCTGCTATTGGCACACAGAGAAAGAGATTCTGACTAGTGCAGAACACTTCCTTTCCTTTCCATTGTAGTTGCTCTCTGAAGACCTTTCTACGTCTCTGAATTTCTATTAAGAAATTGATTTATTTTGGCAATAATCTTTGAGTAGCACTCCATGTTAACTGCAAGGATAGTGTAATGGGGAAAATAATTTTCTTCAGTATCCTTTAGCTGAGATCTTCTGGAACAGAGGTCAGGAGAGGCTGGGAAATGTGGGAGGGAGTTTGGATAGAGAGGGAGTGAAGCACAGGTACCGAAGATATTATTACACACTGGAGGAATCAAATCTAGGGGGCTGTGGTACCATGGGCTGAGAGCAGCCTGCAAAAGTTTAATGTATGTTTTAAAATAGCTGGGAGAAGAGTCAAGGAGGTGGCTGTTTGTCCTCCAAACTCAATCTGTAAAGTGTTTGCTGTTCAAACATACATGAGGTCAGATTCCCTGGCACGCAGATAGAAAGTTGGGTCTGTGGTATGCCCCTGTGATCTCAGCATGTGGGGAGAGAGAGAGACAGATCCATGGAGCTCCTTGGTTAGTCATCAGCACTGAGGGAGGGGGAGAGAAAGATCCATGGAGCTCCTTGGCCAGTCATCAGCACTGGGGGAGGGAGAGAGAAGGATCCATGGAGCTC